AATTTGGTGTTCATTTAGGTAGTTTGTTATTCTTTGGGATATTGGGGTAAGTAAGGGGTGTTTACGAGCTAGAGCTTGGTTTTTGGGGCTGATGTTTTGGTTTATTAAGTTTTGGATGAGAGGGTTTGATTGGGACGCGGCCCAGAAATTTAAGCTTAGCTGTTCCCTGCGTAGACTTAGTGGCATTTCTCCTGTTAAGGCCTGAAGTGAGGTGTAGGAGGTGCCATGTTGGGTGCGTGTAATTAGTTTGAGAGCCTGATATTGTATTGAGTCAAGTTTTTTGGATAGAGAGTTGTTTAGGGTGTTGTATATGGCGCAGCCGTAGTCTAGTTTTGATCTAATTAGTGATATGTAGAGAGAGAGGAGGGTATCTTTGGATGCTCCCCAGTTAGAGCCAGTTAGGCATCTTAGGGTGTTTAGGTCTTTACTGCATTTAGTTGTTAGGTTTTGGATGTGAGCATCCCAGGTGAGATGTTCATCGAAAATAAGTCCTAAGAATTTGGTTTGTTTTTGAAATTTGATTGTTTGATTGTTTAGCTGGAGGATTGGGGAGGCGGGTTTCATGTTTTTATGTTTGAATACTATTCCTGTTGTTTTTTCTGAGTTAAGGGAGAAGCCCCATTTGTCAGCCCATTGTTGTATTTTATTAAGAGATTTTTGGAGTAAATTTTGGACCATGTTCATGCTTTTAGTGCGGATCCAGATGGCTCCATCATCCGCGAATTTTGATGTGTTTACTTTAGGGGATAGGCCCTCGAATAGATCGTTTATCATTATATTGAAGAGGGTGGGGCTGAGGATACTGCCCTGTGGAGTACCATTTTCTAGGGGACATTGGTCCGATAGAGTTTGGTCTATACCCACGGTTATTTTACGATTGTTTAGGAAGTCCTGGATGTAGTTTATTATCTGACCTTTGAGTCCTATTTTTTTAAGTTTTTGTATTAGCCCATCGTGCCATACCATGTCGAAAGCTTTAGAGAAGTCTAAGAAGATGCCTGTGGTATATTGTTTATTTAGTTGTCCTGTCTTAATATCTTGTTCTAGTCGGGCGAGGTTATCTAGGGTTGAGCGGCCAGGAGTGAAACCGCTTTGATCTGGGTTTATGATGTTATTTTGGGTTAAGTAATGTTGTAATCTATTTTTAGCCATTGATTCCATTACTTTACATAAGTTTGAAGTTAGGGATATTGGTCTATATGAGTTAGCTTGATTAGCTGGTTTATTAGGTTTAGGGATTGGTATGACTAGGGCCTGTTTCCAGGGAGTAGGAACCTGTCCGTTTAGGTAGATGAGATTGTATAGTTTGAGTAGTGCCTGGAGTAGTTTTAGGGGGAGTTTTTTAATTATTTGGAAAGAAGTTAGGTCTAATCCTGGGGCTGTGCCCTTTTTCCTGTTTTGGATTACGTAGAGGAGCTCCTCCATTGTGTAGGGTTGATTTATTTCTAGATTGTTATTGTTTGGTTCTTTTGTGGGTTTGTTTTCTGTTTTAAGTTTATCTTGGAATTTTTTACTGAAGTTGGTGTTACTGCTAACGGCCGAAAAGTGGTTGGCGAGATTATTTGCTTTTTGGGCGGCGTTGGTTGAGTTGTCAATGTTAGGGGTTTTTTTATGTCGTTTTAAGCCTCTAATGGCGTGGATTTTGCGCCAGACCATTCTGGCATCTGTACGGTTATTTATACCTTCGCAGAATTTTTTCCAGTCTCTACTTTTGGCTATTTGGACTAGTTTTTGAACCTGGTGGTTTAGTTCGTGGGCTATGTTTAAATATTTGTAGTCGCGTTTTGCTTTATTGAAGGCTGATTTACGTTTTCGTCTAGTCTGTTCTATTTCCTCATTCCACCATGGTACCGTCGGTTTGCCTGTCTTAGATGTTTTGAAGGGGATGGAGGTTTTGGCTGCGTTTATGATATAGTCTGTTAGGTTTTTACAATAGGTTTCTGGATCATTATTTTCTATTTCGTTTAAGTTAGCTTCGTTGCAGATATCTTGGAATTGGTCCCAGTTAGCTTTATTGTAATGGAATTTTGGTTCTTGGTTTTCTGTTTGGATTGGTACGTTTGTATTTCCTATGGTTATGTTTATGGGGAAGTGGTCACTACCTAGCGGGACGTCGTGCACTTCCCATTGAGTACTTTGGGCTAGATCTGCGGTGCATATGGTTAGGTCGATAGCCGACATTTTTTGGTTTATCTTATCGTACCTCGTGGGTTGGTTGCTATTAAGGAGTACTAGGTCGTTTGTTTCTATCCATTCGGAGATTAATTTGCCATGATTATCTATTTTATCATCTATGCTCCATGTAGGATGGTGAGCGTTAAAGTCTCCTAGGAATATAGTAGATTTATCGCTTATTTGGAGTAGTTTGTTTAGATCCTCAGGTTGGACTTTTTGTTCCGCCCAGTGGTAAATATTTATGATGTTTATGTTTCGGTTATTTAATGTGATTTTAATGCCGTTGGCTTCTAGGTTTGGCGTGTCTATTTTTATTTCTTCGTAATTTATATCTTCCCTGATAAATATGATTAGTCCTCCTGCGGCTCTTCTTGTTTTCGGTTTAGCTCTGTCAGTTCTAACTGAGTTGTAGTTAGGTAGTGTGAATTTGGATTTTTTTGAGAATTTGGTTTCCTGTATACAAGCAATGTGAGGGCCTTTATTTAGTTTAAATTTAGTTTTTAGTTCATGGCCGTGGGAGGTGAGTCCGTTGGCGTTCCACTGAAAAATATTTAGTCCTTCGAATATTGGGTTCGGGTGATTGGTGATTTATTTTTTATTTTTTATTTTATTCGGTGAGTTCTTTTAGATGGAGGTTAAAGAGGAAGAAGGGAAGATTGGTTAATTTTAGATTGAAAGCTACTTTGTAGAAGGATTTCATGCTAGCTTTTGGTGAGTTTTGACTATACATGTATGCTAGGAGTAAGGTGAGGTTATTTAGGTTTTGGGTGTTGGCTGGTTGGGGAGTTTGGTTTGTTTTAGTTGGAGTAGTGTCTATTGTTTCCTCAGTAGTGGAGAAATCTTCGTCATCGGTTAGATTAGGTTTAGCTGATTGAGTTTCCATGGGGGAGGCATGTGATGTGGAGGATTGTGAAGGTGTTTGTGGGATGGGTGTAGCTGATGATTTCTTAGTGTTTGTGTTTTGTTGTTGTGCTTGCTTGTGGGAGAGCGTTGTTACCATATGGGCTGTAGGGTGCTTGGATGAGGGTCGTGTTGTGGTGGTCATTTTGAGGTTTGTTTTGCATGCGGGGGTTGATGTTTTGGCTATGTGAGATGTGGGAGGGTTCGTGGTTGGTTGAGTGGCTGCTTGTATGTGTGAGGTGGGTGCGGTTTCTCGGTAGGGGCCCCAGACAGAGCTGTCGGTTATGGGTGTGGTGTTTGTTTGTGGGATGGTGTTTGGGTGTGGTGTAGGGAGGAGTGGTTTAGATGCAGGTGTAGCAAATTTTCGTGTTTGGATTTTAGCCGTGTCTATGTTTATGTGTTTGTTGGCCTGCTGGGTGAGTGTGTGTCTGTATGGGCATTGGTTTGAGAGTGAAAGCCATGAGGCAGAGAGCATATATATGTATATGTAAGGACAACAAAAATAATAAGATAACAAAAGGCAGAAAATAACAAAGGGTAGAAACTGACAAGGGAAGCCAACAGATGATTGGCGCTGATAGGTGATTAGCAATAGACAATGGAAGCCAACACTTTACAGTAATTAGCGCTGAAGGTATGGAAGCCAGTACTTAAGTTATCATAGATAAGTAATAGGCAATGGACACTGGGCAAACGGGAGGCCGGGGTAATTAACACTGATAGGTGAAGAATGGACATAGCAAAGGGCAAATTGAAGCCAGACAGTTTATTAGCACCGACAAAGATCAAAGCAATAAGTCCCAAGCATTAGGCAGATAGGTTCCCTGGTCACGGGTCATGGCTGGCTGGTGTCTCCTGGTGTCCTCATTATAAAGAAGTTGACATCCACATATTCTCTTCCTTATGTGTATCACTTCTAAATGCCTTTCAAAGACCTGATATTGTTTCAAGTTGGAAATTGACACGTAGTACTCAAGCTATTCGTGTTGTTGGCGTGTCAGTTAATCTTATGCCCAAACTATCACCTGAATATATAGAGGTTGTTTCAAGTGTAAAAACTTAGATTCGACGGAGATGAAGATCGGAGCACTTTCACCTCCATAAGAGGTCGCGTCAGGTGAAACATCCGTTCTTGAAATAACTCTTTGTAGGTTCTCAAGCCAATCATCTCTCAGCTTTCTAAGACCATTCGTCCATTCTACCAACTCTAAGACCAATTACAACCTGGATTCGGAAATGTCGATTTGTACAAAAGAAACCTCAAACAGAACACAAACATACCTTCGATGATACTCCTTACTGGTTGTGGCTGCCACGGCGCTCAGAAATGACCGGATGTGTAAAATATCCACAACTCCCAAAATGGCGCCGCTACACCGTCTACCTTCGGAATCTTTCGTTTTAGTTCGTTTTCGAGATACAGAGCTCGGATATGCTGATCTGAATGCTTCGCTGACTGGTACCGAGAGCTTAAAGGCCTCAGTGCTGATTGGCGGATTAGATTGAGTGAGTGAGTATGGTTTTACGCCGCTTTTAGCAATATTCCAGCAATATCACGGCGGGGGACACCAGAGTGAGTGAGTGAGTATGGTTTTACGCCGCTTTTAGCAATATTCCAGCAATATCACGGCGGGGGACACCAGAAATGGGCTTCACACATTGTACCCACGTCGGGAATCGAACCCGGGTCTTCGGCGTGACGAGCGAACGCTTTAACCACTAGGCTACCCGACCGCCCCTTGGCGGATTAGAAAGTTCACCTGACGCGACATCCTATGATCTCAGATCTTCAAGCAGAGAGATATCGTAGCGGAGTAAAAGATCAAATTTAAAATTGTTTAAGATGAAAACCGTGCTTTATTGAACAGGATTTCATGAACATCTCTGGACATTTTAAAACATACATCTAATAGTTTAAAGGTTAAAGGTTAATTGTCAAATATTGTTGCTCGAAGACCGTATTCGTCTAAATATGAAAACAGTTGGAAACACATAAACGGACCCGTAAGGGACAATATGTCTAAAATTTGTCCTGTAGATATAGGGATCTCTGTCCAATCATCAACAGAAGTGGTTGTTGCTACTGACAACGAACCATGTTTGGAACTCGGAGTTCTTCCCTAAAATGTGAAGCTTATGGTAATTTAGATTTCTTTTACAAAAAAACACTGTCAACACTGCTGTAGCCAGGGAACCCGATACTGATAGCGTCTGTAGTTTAGAAGAAGAAAATATGTTAAATACAGTACGGGATTTCCTTACAGTAAGGGTATCCTTTGAAGATGAGGGCGCGAAATGTCACTGCTGAAGTTGCACCATACGTTCAAACATGATTGAAATGGGATATTAGCTTAGCCTTATGTTCTCATTCTCTCACTGTACCTGACAACACCCCTACAGGTAATACAGCTTACATACTCTATCCTTGAACACGACAATATCACATTCATATTGCCCGACGGCGCATACACGAGCACAATTAATGTTGGTAGTTGCCGGAAACATGGTTGTCATGGTAACGTCAGCAATATTCGTTACTCTTCTGAAGGCGAAGGTTTCGATGTTGTTGGTTTCTGAAAATATATCAATGGTATGGCCGAAAATATATAAAAAGGGGGAACGAGCGGTAATATACAGAAGCATCATGCACTATGGCCGGGGATTATGGGGAAAGGAGGCAGCTTGGAATATTTGCTTCAGGTCGGTCATGGTGTGCTATGTTTTCCATTAAAGGGGGGCGATGCTAGGGGCAATAGACAAACCCAGCAAGTTTGATTCGAATTTTCTAGGTACTTATTTGCTTATATCCTGGCTCGACCCGTGAAGATCCGGGTAGAGAATAGGTCTTCAACAACCCATGCTTGTCTTAAAAGGCAACTATGCTTGTAAGAGGCGACTAACGGGATTGGGTGCTCAAGCTCGTTTACTTGGTTGATGCATGTCATCATATCCCAATTGCGTAGATTGATGCTTATGATTTCAATCACTGGATTGTCTGGTCCAGACTCGATTATTCACACACCGCCGCCATATAGCTGTACTATTGTTGAGTGCGGCTTTAAACAACAAAGAAGACAAACCAAAAATCTTGTAATCAACAAAGGAGAACTTTAGATCCAACCATTGGCCAACATTTACATACATGCAGACTATTTGATGCGAAATCGAATCTAGAATCAATGTAATTTTATACATATTAGTGTGTGTGTTTAGATTTGATATTATGCTTTTTAGTTTGTACTTTGAAGTAATGACGTCGTCCTTCGTCCTTCTAAATATGAAAACAGTTGGAAACACATAATAAATGATTTGGTCCTATCAGTGGGCGACAACCTTGACAGCTCTGTGTACTTACCATCGGACACACTAGACACAACGCGATACCCCGCCTCCAGTGTTTCCGGAACTTTGTTTTGCACACGACCCTTGTCTCTTGGAGTTGACACAGTCGATGTAGAGACATCCTTTGGCAGTACAACCAAACCATCTAAAACGACAGCAGAAGTTGCCACGACAACAGAACTAGTTGTTGCCACGGTTACCGAAATTGTCATAAACGGGTCCCGAAGGGACAAAGTGTCTAAAATTGGTCCTGTAGATTTAGAGATGTCTGTCCAATTATCAACAGAAGTGGTTGTTGCTTCTGACACTGATTCTTGTTTGGAACTCGGAGTTGCCATTGGAACTTGAACAGGTTCGGGTAATCCGGTTTTTGCTACTGACACTGATTCTTGTTTGGAACTCGGAGTTGCCATTGGAACTGGAACAGGTTCGGATAATCCGGTTGTTGCTACTGACACTGATTCTTGTTTGGAACTCGGAGTTGCCATTGGAACTTGAACAGGTTCGGGTAATCCGGTTTTTGCTACTGACACTGATTCTTGTTTGGAACTCGGAGTTGCCATTGGAACTGGAACAGGTTCGGATAATCCGGTTGTTGCTACTGACACTGAACCACGTTTGGAAGTCGGAGTTGCCATTGGAACTGGAATAGGTTCGGGTAATCCGGTTGTTGCTACTGACACTGGTTCTTGTTTGGAACTCGGAGTTGCCATTGGAACTGGAACAGGTTCGGGTAATCCGGTCGTTGCTACTGACACTGATTCTTGTTTGGAACTCGGAGTTACCATTGGAACTGGAACAGGTTCGGATAATCCGGTCGTTGCTACTGACACTGATTCTTGTTTGGAACTCGGAGTTACCATTGGAACTTGAACAGGTTCGGGTAATCCGGTCGTTGCTACTGTCACTGATTCTTGTTTGGAACTCGGAGTTGCCATTGGAACTTGAACAGTTTCGGGTAATCCGGTTGCTGCTACTGTCACCGATTCTTGTGTGGAAGAAGTAGGCATGTCCATTGAAAGTGAGACCAGTTTTGATGAACCGGATGAAGTATTGAAAGGTCTTTGTATGAGAACCGCGAATGGGGTTACGGAATGTGACGTGTTCCTGGTGAACGCTGCAGCAGCATGGCTTGTTGAAGAAAGGCTGGGCTCAATACGACTGACATTTGTTGATTCTTCTGTTGCATCAGAGTCAAATTGTGAGAAGACAGGACCAGAATAGGACGACCCAATCTCAACAGAAGCAGACGACCCAATCTCACCTGAAGCAGACCACCCAGACTCACCTGAAGCAGACAACCCAGTCTCACCTGACGCAGATGACTCAATCTCACTTGAAGCAGAAAACCAAGTCTCACCTAAAGCAGAAAACCTAATCTCACGTGAAGCAGAAAACCCAATCTCACCTGAAGCAGACGACTCAATCTCACCTGAAGCAGACGACCCAATCTCACGTGAAGCAGACGACTCAATCTCACCTGAAGCAGAAAACCTTGTCTCACCTAAAGCAGACGACTCAATCTCACGTGAAGCAGACGACCCAATCTCACCTGAAGCAGACGACTCAATCTCACCTGAAGCAGAAAACCTTGTCTCACCTAAAGCAGACGACTCAATCTCACCTAAAGCAGACGACTCAATCTCACCTGAAGCAGAAAACCTTGTCTCGCCTGAAGCAGACGACTCAATCTCACGTGAAGCAGACGACCCAATCTCACGTAAAGCAGACGACCCAATCTCAGCTGAAGCAGAAAACCCATTCTCACCTGAAGCAAACGAGCCAATCTTACCTGAAGCAAACGGCTCAATCTCACCTGAAGCAGACGACTCAATCTCAGCTGAAGCAGAAAACCTTGGCTCACCTGCAGCAGACGACTCAATCTCACGTAAAGCAGACGACCTAATCTCACCTGAAGCAGAAAACCCAATCTCACCTGAAGCAAACGACCCAATCTCAAGTAAAGCAGACGACTCAATCTCACCTGAAGCAGAAAACCCATTCTCACCTGAAGCAAACGAGCCAATCTTACCTGAAGCAAACGGCTCAATCTCACCTGAAGCAGACGACTCAATCTCAGCTGAAGCAGAAAACCTTGGCTCACCTGCAGCAGACGACTCAATCTCACCTAAAGCAGACGACTCAATCTCACGTAAAGCAGACGACCCAATCTCACCCGAAGCAGAAAATCTTGTCTCACGTGAAGCAGAAAACCCAATCTCACCTGAAGCAAACGACCCTGTCACACCCGAGGCAGACGACCCAATCACCTCAGATGCAGACGACCTAATCATACCCGAAGTAGACGACCCAAGTACACCAGAGGCAGCTGGCCCAATCACGGTAGCAAACGACCCAATCAGCCCGAAAGCTGCCAGCCCAACAGATGCAGACGACCCAAGCACAATGGTAGCTGACGACCAAATAACACCACTTGAAGCAGACGGTCCAATCACCCCAGAAGCAGGCGGCCCATTCACTTCGGAAGCAGACGGTCCAATCACCCCGGAAGCAGACGGTCCATTCACCCCGGAAGCAGACGGTCCATTCACCCCGGAAGCAGACGGTCCAATCACCCCGGAAGCAGACGGTCCAATCACCCCGGAAGCAGACGGTCCATTCACCCCGGAAGCAGGCGGCCCATTCACCCCGGAAGCAGGCGGCCCATTCACCCCGGAAGCAGGCGGCCCATTCACCCCGGAAGCTGCCGATCCAATCGTACCAGGGGCAGGCGACCTCGTCAGACTGGACAGTCCCGGTGTCAAGGGTAGAACTGGCCCAGATTCCACTACACTGCTCTGTTCAGGTATAGATGATGCATCAAGCACACTCTTTGGGGTAATTTCGTGTGATGCAGACATTGATGTAAAAAAAGATGAAACGACAGATTTAAGCTTGTTAACAGCATCGGTGGTGGTGATTAAAGAGGGTCCAAGCAATGAAATAGCAAATGTGATCGTGACGGATTGGTCGATGTTGTTTTGTCTAGCGTTGATTGTTGAGTGTATTAGACTAGACAGAAGGTTGTTGTGCTTCGTCACAGCCAGGGAGGAAGTCCAGTCTCTCACTATAGTCTGGCGCGCCGAGTTTATCTGTGAGGGGATGGGGTTTGTTGTGAGGCCGTCAACTGGTGGAAGGGGTTCTGTACCTGAGTACGGCCCTGTGTGTAGTGTTGTAGAAGCTGTTGTGGACGGTATGGGAACAGTTGTTGCACTTGAACCAACAGAAACTATTTCTAAAGAGAACTCTCGTGCTTGAGTCGACTCTTGTGTCGCTTCTTGGGGTGGGTGTGGCATGTCAGAATTCTTTTGTTGTCCGATGCTTTGTTGTTTAGGTCTGCTAGAGCTGACAACTCCAATGTTTCTAGTTTGTCTTTGGTCAATAGTTTGTTCTGATGTAATAGGCTCTCCCAGAAAGCTGTACTCCCCGAGGCTTCTAGATTGTCCTTGGTCAATAGTTTGTTCTGGGGTGATATGCAGTCCCAGAAAGCGAGAATCCCCGAGGCTTCTAGATTGTCCTTGGTCAGTAGTTTCTTCCGACTGGATAGTTTGTTCTGGTTTAATAGATCGCCTTGCACTGCTAAATTCTCCTGGTTTCATGGAGAATACCAGTTCAGCAGAGTTTCCAAGAAAGCTAGAAACTCCAAGTCTGCTCGATAGCCCGAGATTAATAGATTGTCCATGAACTTTCGATTGTCCCAGTGTGGATTCAGCGTCCCTTGCGACGTTGTGTGAGACGTCTGTCACAACTGCAAACCCTTCGTTGATAGTAGGGGGCGTCTCTACGACTACACCCGATGGTACGGGAGTCTCCCTCATGTCCCCTTTCACGTTAAGCTGAGAGTCAGATATTTTAGAGGACATCTGTGTTTCTGATACTATAACAGTGCTGAGTGTCGCCTCCGATCGTAATGACCCCACAGTTGCTATGACAACAGTTTCAGTGAGACTCCCTTGTTCATGTGGAGTGCCTTGTCCAGCGGCAAACTCCACCGATGGTGTATTTGTTGACACTGAGGAGCCTGTTGTTTCCCTAATGATGGTGCTGTCAGCTGATATAGAGTTAGCCAAGACCCCAGTGGTTGTATATCGTTCATCAGATAAAGACATGTCTATGTCCGAGTCGGCAGTTTCCTCGCCTAGTTCCTGTTCACAGACGACTTGAAATGTTTTGTTGGGGTCTTGGACTTGCCAGAAATATTTCCCTCCTGATTTACGGACTATGGCGTTGTGTCCCACGGTGGCAGCGCTCTTGTCGGCAAACAACATCTTCCCAACTGGACGACTTCGTTGACCGCCTTGCCACCTCCATTCAGAACCATTCCTCTCTAGACCAATCCAAAGCCTCGTGAAGCCAGGGCCTGGAAGACAATAATCATATATACACGACCATTCCTCTCTAGACCAATCCAAAGCATCGTAAGGCCAGGGCCTGGAAGACAATAATCATATATACGCGACCATTCTCTAGATCAATCCAAAGCCTCGTGAAGCCAGGGCCTGGAAGACAATAATCATATATACACGACCATTCCTCTCTAGACCAATCCAAAGCCTCGTGAAGCCAGGGCCTGGAAGACAATAATCATATATACACGACCATTCCTCTCTAGACCAATCCAAAGCATCGTAAGGCCAGGGCCTGGAAGACAATAATCATATATACGCGACCATTCTCTAGATCAATCCAAAGCCTCGTGAAGCCAGGGCCTGGAAGACAATAATCATATATACACGACCATTCCTCTCTAGACCAATCCAAAGCCTCGTGATGCCAGGGCCTGGAAGACAATAATCATATATACACGACCATTCCTCTCTAGACCAATCCAAAGCCTCGTGAAGCCAGGGCCTGGAAGATAATAATCATATATACACGACCATTCCTCTCTAGACCAATCCAAAGCCTCGTGAAGCCAGGGCCTGGAAGACAATAATCATATATATACACGACCATTCCTCTCTAGACCAATCCATAGCTTCTTGACGCCAAGGCCTGGAAGATATTAACGACATATCGTTACGGGACGGGACGGGGTTAACGATATTTATACAACCATTCCATGCCAAATAACCCACAGCCTCGCGAAGCCACAGCATGGAAGATAATAACTATATACGCACAGCCATTCCAACTAATCGACAGCTGCGTGAAATCATGGCCTGGAAGACATCAACGACATATATGCTGCTTCAGATGGCCAGGGTTGAGATGAGGGTGAGGTGAGGTGAGGTGAGGTGAGGTGAGGTGAAATGGGGTTTAACGTTGCGTTCAGGAATATTTCACCTATACAGCCACGTGCATGCATGACATGTGAGTGGCTGTTTGTTTGTGCCGAAGTTTAAGATTGATACCTCACGCAGACACTGTATACTCACTTCGACCAGGTTGCTTTTTCAACTTAATGTGCGGAGCGCTAGGCAGGGTAATAACAAGTACCATCTTTTAACCTCTTTTAGTATGACGCGACCGGGGATCTAACCACCCACCTTCCGCTCTCCGGGGAGACGCTCTACCATTTACACTAAGGAGCCGATCTGAGGGAAGAGACTTATTTTAAACATAATGCTAAAAAATGAATCTATATAACTCTTATATAGATATATAAATAAGTCTTATATAGACGCTGTGTTGATATAGCTTCGTGCAACCGGGCCCTGGCACCTACCTAGCCTGCTCGAAAGTCGATGGTGTTCCTCTTTCGTTTCAGTGAACAAAACGTGGGTTCCACCTGTTTTACACAACTGTACGGCCTCGTTGTATGTCGCCCGCTTCCTGGGCCATGCGTAGTAGCATTTGTTGTTCATGACGACGTTCATGATGAAATGTCCTCGATAACGGTTGCATTGTAAAGCTGAAAAAGAAGGAACCATACCAAAAGTTAGAGCGATCTATTTTTAGCCGGTACCTGTTCTGGGAATGTCCTTTTATGTCATGACAAATATCTCTACTGTATCGTACAAAACACGATGTTTTTTTAGGGAGAAAATCGATAACAATTTGATATATCTAAAAAGCATTTCTAGACTGAATCGTTACCCTCTAAGGGCCAGCAATTTGATATTCTGGGGAGCTAGGGTCTGGAATCTCTTTGATATTTTTAACCTGTCCCGGGTACTCCCGAAAAGAAATAATTTGACTTTCTATCCCCAAAATTAATCGTTCACGGACACAATGTCATGAAAAATGCTGTAGTCCTTGAAAAAATATCCGTGTTTAACATAACTCTATTTAACACGGGCTTCAGTTTTCGTACAAAAATGTTTATCGAGAAATCCATGTGGTCGAACAACATTTATTGAACTCAATACCAATTCAAATATTCATAGAAAATTCAAACTGTCAGAGTCGGATTGCCAAGGTGTCAAAACGTCCGCACGTCACGACGAATGCCCCATTCGTCACCACTCGCCCCTTTCCGTGACCTGCAAGAAGACTCGTCCCCCTATCGATGAATGTTATGTGCGAAAATACGACAAACCAATCAGAATGCGCGTATGATTTCGAGTTCTTTGTCAAATAATCCCTCAGAAATAATGTTTGATTTTACATATGTCTTGCATCTAAAATTATACCCAAGACACAGTTAAATGTGTTCAATCATTCTGTATAATTCCGCACCTCACGATGTGCTTTAAATTGCATCTGAAATATATATATAATATATGGGGAAATATATGTGAACCATTACGCAACGAGTTGACAATTGTTTTAGGTATGCCCGTTTGCGCTAAGACGGATCCCGGTCGCAAAAATGGCCATGAGAGGGGCAACAAGTCGCTATTCGGCTTGTCCCGGAATAACACGAGTTGGTCACGAATGCGAATGCCCGTGAAGCCCAATTCTTGTGTCCCCGCCGTTATATTTCTGGAATATTGCTAAAAACAGCGTAAAACCATACTCACTCACTCAAACGTATAAACCAGACATGTTCCTTTCTTTCAAAACGGCCTCGATTAACACGTTGTGACAAACACGACATCAAATTGCAAACTTTAAAGTCTACTCCCTGGCTGGATTTATCGGTTTAACCAGGGTCGAAACTGAAGGCTTTGAATGTCGAGCACACACTGATAACGTCTGTCAGTTCAAATTTAGTTTGTTTGTTTGTTTGTTTGTTTAGTGTTTAACGCCGCACTCAGCAATATTCCATCTATATGACGGCGGTCTGTAAATAATAAAGTCGGGACCAGATAATCCAGTGATTGATAGCATGAGCATCGATCTAAGCAATTGGAATACGATGACATGCATCAATCAAGTCAGCGAGACTGACCACCCGATTCCGTTAGTCGCCTCTTGCAGCAAGCATATTCGCCTTTTACGACAAGCATAGTCACCTTTTACGACAAGCATAGTCGCCATTTACGGCAAGCATAGTCGCCTTTTACGACAAGCTCAGTCGCCTTTAACGACAAGCATAGTCGCCTTTTACGACAAGCATAGTCGCCTTTTACGAAAAGGATAGTCGCCTTTTACGACAAGCATAGTCGCCTTTTACGACAAGCATAGTCGCCTTTAACGACAGGCATAGTCGCGATTTACGGCAAGCATAGTCGCCTTTAACGGCAAGCATAGGCGCCTTTTACGACAAGGATAGTCGCCTTTTACGACAAGGATAGTCGCCTTTTACGGCAAGCATAGGCGCCTTTTACGACAAGGATAGTCGCCTTTTACGACAAGGATAGTCGCCTTTTACGACAAGCATAGTCGCCTTTTACGATAAGGATAGTCGCCTTTTAAGGCAAGCAAAGTCGCTTTTTATGACAAGCATAGTGGCCTTTTACGACAAGCAAAGTCGCTTTTTACGACAAGCATAGTCGCCTTTTACGGCAAGCAAAGTCGCCTTTTACGACAAGGATAGTCGCCATTTACGGCAAGGATAGTCGCCTTTTACGGCAAGCATGGGTTGCTGAAGATCTTCAGATCTTCAATGATCTAGTAATAATGAACACAACTTACCATCAGTCGTCAAATGTAAGGACAGCACCAGGAACAGCTCAGCGAGAAACATTGTGTAACAAGCTTGTATGTATCACAGCTAAGTGATATGTGATACCGGACATAGCGCATGACCTGGGGATATGCATCGGTCTAATTGTTTAATATCTGCGATGTGCAATCCTACTTTGTGTACATTGCAATCAATCAAAACGATACGATGCTCGGGGAAAGAAAACCACAACACCTGTTCTCGTTCATAATATGTGTTGTCAAGCCTATGGAAACTCATTACAGTAAACTACGGTTATAACGAACACGCTTATAACGAACTAACGGATATAACGAACTTACTTTTTAGTCCTGACTATATGCTGTAGTTATGCTGTATATATGCTTATAACGAATTACGGTTATAACGAACTAAAATTAGTAGTCCCTTGGAGTTCGTTATAACCGTAGTTTACTGTAATTGCACTTTGGGATATTTAC